GCAGGGAGAGGAGAAGGCAGAGGGAAAGGGGGGGACGGGAAGAGGGAGGGAGGGGAGGGAGGAGAGAAGCCTCGGGGCCATCGTGGGAAGGGAATGGAAGGAGAAATGCCGAGGATGGGAGGGAGGAGCAGATGGTGCGACGGGAGAGGATCGAGGAAGGCACTCTCCACCTCGGCAACCAATCCGTCGTGAAGTGGTATGGCGGCTCGCGGAGAAACTCACAATCAACCTCCGTCCATTTCTCTCTCTCTCTCTCTCGTACTCGCTTGCCTGTCTGTCTCTCTCTCTCTCTCTCTCTCCCTCTCTGTATCTGTAAGTGTACACACGTACATACACGAGAGGGACCTCATGAGAGGTTCGCCGGCATCTCAAAGACCCCCCCATAGTGGGCCCCTGTGGAGCCCGATCAGGTTCCAAGAGGCTTCCATGGGGACCCCAAAATGGCCGTCCGAGGGGGCTACTCGCGCTGATCCTGGCTTCAGTTCGAATAGTGTCATTTCTGTGTTCAGCATGTGTTATTCCATCCAACTTCTCATTTCTCATCATTACTCGTTTGGGAATCGTTTCTCGATGCGCTGGTGGGGATGCGGAAGCCTCACGAATATGAAACCACGCTCCTCCTCCTCCTCCTCCTCCTCCTCCTCCTCCTCCTCTTCAATCTCCACGGTTCGTTCGTCCTCGACCTCGTTCGCTCGACCAGCGTATGGCGCATGCAACTGTTAACGATCCGCGGCGCCTCAGGCGTGTACTCGGTGGCGTCGAGCTTGCCCATCCAGCCGGACTGCCGTATGAGATGGTCACCTGGTGGGGAGGGACAGTATTTGTCCCCGCCGTGCTGCTGGAGCAAGACAATCACACAAACCCTGACCAGCACAGCACTCTCTCCCTGTATTCCCTCCCCCTCTCGCTGGTCTCCCTCTCCATGTAGCGCTTCGGGCCACGCCTTCTGAGTTGCCCGCTCGATCGCCCCGATTACGCGGGCTGGTGGCTTGGCGCTGTTTCAATTTCTATGGCGTTTTCGGTTGCGTCGTGACGACTCGGCTTGAGCTGTAGCTCTTCTCCCTCCCCTGCTCCCCTCCTCCCATCTCCCCTCCGCCCTTCTCTCCCAGCTCCTCTCTTCCGATTCCGCACAACACGACGTCTCTCGTGTTCGTTGCAGGTCGGCTACGACACGCTCCCGCGGACGCCGGACAAGACGGCGCCATGGGAAGGGGTGGGAGGGCGCGATGGGCTCTTCGATGCGGCACGAGCGCGAGCGCACCCTGGCCTGTCGCCCCCGTCCCCTCCCCCCCTCGTGGCCGGCAGGCGCCGTGGCGCCACGGCGCCGTGACACCACAAGGCATCCGCTGCCAGTCTTCTGTCGGGCGCGTCCCCCTACAGGGGGACTTTCGACGAAGAATCAAAAATACCTATAAAAAACACCCCAAGAATACCCCAAATGGACAAGCATACTCCAAACATGGGCCCCAGACTATGTTTGGACTATTTTTGAACATTATTGTTTCTTGTTTTTATTATTATTATTATACATATTATTATAATTATTATTAGTAGTAGTATCATTGATATTCTTATTATTTGTATTAGTATTAGTATTAGTATCATCCTCACTATTATTATCTTTATTATTATATAGTATTAGTCATAGTATTAATCATAGTATTAGTATAAGTAGTAGTAGTATTAGTATAAGTAGTAGTATTATATAGTATTAGTCATACTATTAGTATTAGTATTACTCATAGTATTCGTATAAGCATTTTTATTATCTTCATTATCATTATTAACAGCATTTGCATGTGCATCATTATTATTATTATTTGTATTATTATGATTCGTAATATTATTTGTAGTATTATGATTATTGTTATTAATATGAGTAGTAGTAGTAGTAGTAGTAGTAGTAGTAGTAGTAGTAGTAGTAGTAGTAGTAGTAGTAGTAGTAGTAGTAGTGGTAGTACTATTGTTATTGCTAATATAATTATCATTATTATTACTATTCTGATTACTATTATTATTAGTATTAAAAGTATTAATATCATCATTATTAATATTATTACTATTATTATTATTATTATTATTATTATTACTATTGTTCGACATTTTTTTGGTATTCTCTATTTTTCATCGAAAATCCCCCTGTAGGGGGACAGGCCCGACTTAATGCCAGTCCTCGCGGGCTCCAGCTCGCGGCCCTCGCGCGAGAGCCGCCCGGCCTCGGCGGCCGGACCTCCGCCCCTCTTCGTCGCGGGCCCCTCCGAGCGGAGGCCCGCCCAATGGGGGGGGGGGGGGGGCGGCCGCCCCGAGGCCGCCCGCGCCCGCCGTGCGGAGGCGGCGCGGGCCTACCGCACGGCCATGTCCCGCCGGCCCCTGCTCGGGCGCTGGCGGGACTGGGCTTATACATATATATATATATATATATAATTAATTATGTGTGTATATATACTATGTATATAACAAAAGAACACCACATAGAATCGACAATGGTTACAAAACATCGTCCCCTGGCAATTTTTTATACTATTTTTGAACACTCAACCTGTACAGTCGGACTCGATTGGAGAGGACACGCGACAGGGCACGAGACCCTCCCGAGGGCCACAGTTGCCACTCAAATACAGGAGGCACGGGTCGCAAGACACAGGACACGAGGGCACCCCTGATCTGGCAGGGTCGACCTACTACTCTGGGCCGCCTGTATAGTACGGCTGACGGATGCGCAAAGTGGGGACGCCCAGCCCCGCCCCCGTCCGCTGACCAGAGCTGCCGCCACCCGTTGAAACGCCAACGCTGCGGCAGACTTGGATCGCACCTGGCTAACTCTAGGGGCCCTGGGGCCCAATACTGACTGGCTCCCCTTGCCCGGGGTCCTGGCTACCCATCGGTCGGAAAAAGTATGTAAAAACATGAAGCAGGGAGGCGTCGAAAGCAGATTCGGGCTCCCGTCCGCCCCCGAAGGAGGACAGGAGGATGAAGGAAGGAGGACACTCGATCCTTGAAGTGGGAAGGCGCTTAAAGTAGATATGGAATCTGGAAATCCCAAAATACTTCTTTTCAGCGACATACGAGTATATCCGACCTGCGTCCCTCCCCACCGGGTCGGACGGCATGGGAACCAGCTCGCGCAGCTGACTTCCCCGGCGCCCCCCGGCGCGGGAGGAGCCGAGGAAAGCGCCCAGCGGCGGGGCCGAGGCCGGCTGCATGCGGCAGATTTCGTACCCTTACCAGCCTCGAACGTATCCCTATCCCTAAAACTGGCACGCCAAAAGGCGGTGACAAGCTTAGGGATTCGCCTTCAGAAAACAATGGAATCCCTAAGATTGCCATCGTGATGAGGAGGTGCCCAGCTCAGGGATACGGATATGTTCCAGGCTGGTAATACCCCCCCCTTTCCTTCCCTCCCCGTCGTCTGGCCCGAAACGCAGGAGGTGGAGGGGGAAGCCACGAGGAGGTGGAGGGCTGGACCATGACAGCTTGAACTGACACCCGCATTGGCTCGTGAGCGGCGAACGCTCCGCGAGCCGATGTGCCCATCCACCACTGAGAACGGCGTGCGGGTGGTCAGCTCCGCCGCCTCGCAGAAGCAAAAGTGTGCCGGGGATCAAAGGGCAGGGGCTGAATCGAAGTAGTGCTTCAGGAAGCCAATGGCGATGTTCTGCGTCGCCTCGAGCTCGACGACCGAGCAGACGCTCCGAGAATCACAATAGTCATAGCTGAGGTTGACACAGCTGAACCACAGCTCTGGTTCGATGTCGACGTCGGCCCGCCCGTGCAGAACGTCGTACACCTTCCGCATCGCTTCGTAGCGGGACTTGCGAGGGTTCGCGTTCATGCTCGACACCCGCGTCTGCGGGGGGACCCGGTCGATCGCGAGGCGGAGCTCATCGGTGAGGGCGCTGTAGTTGTCGAGGGCCTTCTGGAGGCTGTCCCTTGTGCCCGGCGAACAGAAGAAGAAACAACGGCATAAACATGAACGTTCGGAGCCACGTGCGAGGACTTAGCGGATCTCCTGGTCCAAAACAAAGGCCGAAACTGATATACAAAATAATGCTGTCGGAAAATCGCCAACCGTACTATTTTCGACGACTCTTGCATAATTCCTCCTGTGGAGGGGCGCGCCCGACCTACGCCGAAACCGAAAGGAGAGCGCTGGGATCGAAAACCTCCGAGCGTCGGAGATCCGGGCAGGGGGCAGGGCGCGCCGAGACCACAACAGCTCAAGAGTCGGTCCCGACGGGCCTGTTCTCCGCCACCGCCAAAAGTTGGAGGGGGCCCTCCTCCTCCTCCTCTTCCTCCTTGTCCTCCTCCTCCTCCTCCACCTCCACCTCCTCCTCTTCCGCCTCCTCCTCGTCCTCCACCTCTTCCCCCCCCCAACTGGTGGAAAACAAGCCCAACAGATCCCCAGACGCCCCCCGCCCCGCGGGGGTCCAAGCGCGCGAGCCGCCCGAGGCGCGGCCGGCCGTGACCACGAGGCCCCCACCCCCGGGGTCCAACCGATGGGCCTGTTATCCACCACCGCCGCCATAGGTTGGAGGGGGGGTCCGTAAGGCGCGGGATCCGGCACCATTTGACGGCGGGTGCTTACAAGCATATAAACTGTAGGTAACGTATACACATAGTATATGTATATATAAAAGTATACACAGACTGTAAGTAATGTTTACATACATAATATATGTGTGCATGTACACACACGCGTGTGTAAACGCGCGTAATGCGTGTATAAGCACATGCTCATATATGTTTTTACACACTTGCAGACACGCACACATATCATACACGCGCGATGCGCGCGCCAGCGTACGCATTTACGCTTGACAGAAACAAGGGTAGAGACATAGTTCATGCAAATTGAACCGTTCGAATACATATATACACGCGCAGGTGCACACACATGCACGCACGCGGCCCCGGCCCCGGCTAGCGGCCCTGGGGCCGGGGGGAAAAAACGCGAACGAGGGTGGAAGAGATCCGCGGGGATTCTTCCCTCCAAGTTCTCCTCAACCCCTCCCCGCCGCCCCGTTCTTGTCCACGCCCAGCTTGAACTTCGACTGGGCCGCGTCGTTCGCCAGGTCCACCAGGCGCCCGCGAGCGAGCGCCGGCGACAGGCTGAACGAGCAGCACCGGTCTTTTCCTGAGATGCCTCCCAAACAGGGTCGGAGTAACGGGGTCGGGAAAACCCGCCGCGTCGCCAATGGGTCGGCGACGCGACGCGACTCCGCCGACCCACATACTCCCACCCTATCTGGGAGGCCCGGAGTCCCGCGGGCGTCATGTTGGCGACGCGCATGCACGCGGCGCGGGCGAAGGACGTGCCCTCCGCCGCGCACAGCTGGCAATGCAGCGCGTCCTGAGGCCAGCCCAGTCCTGGGGGCTGGACCGCGCCGCTACCCTCCCCCCCCCACCCACCCCCGACCTTCGCCCCATGGAGCGGGCGTTAGCCCTGCTGCCGCCCCGTCGCTCCAGCGAGGACGGCGGCGCGGTTAACGCGCACTCGCGGGAGCGATATGCAACTCCGATACCTCGGGGGGGGGGGGGCACGGCAGCCATTTGCCCCGAACCCACTGTCCAGGAGCTCCGCACCCATCGCCCCAGGCCTGCGCCGAGAGGCGGAAGAGAAGAGGGGCCACGGCCATCGCCGCAGGGAGCTTCGGGGGAGGGTTGTCGAAGGGGGCGCAGGACAAAACTCGGGCCGATACTCGGCGGACCCCATTGGCTCGCGGCCACCTCCGCGAACATTGGCACGCCCCCTCACGCGATTCGCAACCCAAAGGAAGCTCCACGGAAGACCTCAAGGGGGAAACCCCGAAATCTCGAACCGCCGAGGCAGAATAAACAACCCGGGGAAAGTATCGAAAGCCGCATTCAAAAGCATTGGGCCCCGAAAAAAGCGAGCAAGAGCAAAATGCGCACCTGGCTAAAACGAGAGCGCCGCGGAGAATGCGCACTGGTGGCACGGCCATCGAAACTGTGACCTGGCAGAGGTTTCGGATTCCCGAGGCGCGGCAAATCCCCCCGGAGGTCAGCGAAACGCCGCGATAACAAACGCGGCCGCCGCGAAAAAGGCAAGCGATAACAAAACAACGCGGCCAGCTAAAACGAGGGCGCAGCGGAGAACGCACGCTGGTAACACGTTCATAGAAATTGCGACAGGGCAGGCGTCGAACCCCCAAAGAGGAGCAAATGACCCCCGGAAGTCTGCGAAAAAACCGTACTCAAAGTTTAGGGGCACCCGAAAAACGGGCCAGCGAAATCAACAAAAAACGCGGTCAGCTAAAACAAGGGCGTCGTGGAGAGCGCAAACTGGTGACACGTTCACAGAAACTGCGACAGGGCAGAAGTGTCGAACCCCCGGAGCGGAGCGCACCCCCCCCCGAAAGTCAGCGGAAAACCGCACTCAATGTTAAAGGGCGCCCGAAAAATGACCAGCAAGAACAGAAAGCGCGGCCAGCTAAAACAAGGGCGCCGCGGAGAACGCAAAATGGTGACGCGTTCAGAGAAGCTGCGACAGGGCATGTGTCGAACCCCCGAAGCGGAGCAAACCTCCCCGGAGGTAAGCAAAAAACGCACTCAAAGTTTGGGGCCCACAAAAAAACTGCCAGCGAGGACAAAAGACGCGGCCAGCTATGAAGAGGGCGCCGCGGAGAACGCAAACTGGTGACACACTCATGGAAACTGCGACAGGGCAGAAGTGTCGAATCCCCGACGCGGAGCAAATCCCCCATGGAGGTCCGCGAAAAACCGTACTCAAAGTTTAGGGACACCCGAAAAAAAAAGCAAGCGAGAACAAAAAACGTGGCCAGCTGAAACAAAGGCGCTGCGGAGAACGCAACTGGTGACTCGTTCACAGAAACTGCGACCGGGCAGGTGTCGAATCCCTGGAGCGGAGCAACCCCCCCCCCGGATGCCTGCGAAAAAACGCACTCAAAGTTTAGGGGCCGCACACTTCTCAAACAGAGCTGACATTTTCGTCCCCCGGAGACCCCTGGGGAGCTCCGCCGCCCAATGCGCCCCAGGATATCGGCGAAAAGCCGTGCTCAATGTATAGGGATCGACGATGTATCTGACAGAGCTGAAACGTTCGACCCCCGGAGGCCTTCGGTCGTCGTCGTCGTCGCCGTCGTCGCCGCCGCCGTCGTCGTCGTCGTCGTCGCCGCCGTCGTCGTCGTCGCGCAAATTGATGCGATGGGCGTTCTTATGCTGTGAACTCAGCGCGCGCGCCTAACCATCAAACGCCTTCGCTTCTGTTCGGCCCCCACAGACCGTTCCAGATCCAGGGCCTCTCCGAAGAGATCGGCGCACCCTGGCCTCTCGGTGTCCCCGTGTTCCTGGCCGAAGAGCTTGCCCAGCTCACAATAGTTATGCTGCACATTTTCCAAAAATAAAACATCACTTTGCCATTCTGTTGACAGCCGATGGGCGACGCCACTCGCATCGAGCTCTCGGAGACACGGGGCAAGCTTGGCGCGAACCTGCGCCATGTCGCCCGGGCGATTGTCGTAAGTCTTCGGGTCGCGCTCAAGCATTTCTGCCGCGGCCCTCGCGGCCCCTGCCCCGACGACAGTATACTGCATAAGACGGAAACGCGATTCAGTGTAAGAGAAAAATCTGGCCACCTGCACAGCCCGGAGACCAGGCAGATTTAACTCAACCTTCAATGCATCAATGATTCCGCCGGGCTGTGGCAAGTTTTGAGCAGGCGCACGGCGGCGCCCAATTGCCCGTCCATGAAATCAATGCACGTGCCCACAAGGTCTACGATGCCAGATTCTCGGCGGCAGCGCCGTCGCCGGCGCAACTTGTCCGAGCATTGAGACCACCCCTGTCTGCATGCCAGGGTTCATAATCCACCCGCCCTCCGCGCCTTCCGGGTGCCGCTGGGCGTGCCACGCCTTGAAGTCAGCTGGGGCTTCGGCGATCATCTCCCTGTACATAGCGGGGCTATGGAGAAGCACCTGTGACAATGCGATAAAACGAAGGGATGCCTCGTCGAGCGCTACGACGCCTCGGTTCAGCTGGCGGCGGGCGAGTGCCTTGCGCGTCTCTAAAGACATGCGCCCACGCTGTCACGACACACCGCTCATCATGTGGTTTCCCAACCGTTCAGAGTAGTCGTCAAGCCCCTGCACGCGCTGGGCCTGGCTTCCAAGACGCACGAGAAGAGCGCTGCGCACCCATGCTGACAATCCGCAACCCACGCGGTGGAATCCACTGGGTGCGAAGTACGCACGCGGCGCAACTGGGGGGGGGAGATGCACGTGGCGCGAACTACGGGGAGAAGGAGGGGGCGAGCAGCGAGGGCGCCACAACTGCGCACGCCCGGAAGTCAGCGAAAAACCGTGCTCAAAGTTCAGGGGCACCCAGAAAAATACGCAAACTGGTGACACGTTCATAGAAATTGCACAAGGGCGGGTGTCGCATCCCCAAAGCGGAGCAAATGACCCCCGGAGGTCTGGAAAAAAGCGCACTCCAAATTTAACGACGCCGACAAACGGGCCAGCGAGACCAAAAGACGCGGTCAGCTAAAACGAGGGCGTGGCGGAGAACGCAGCTTCTATGCACGTGTCACCAGGGCAGAAGTGTTGAATCCCCGAAGCGGAGCAAATCATCCCCGGAGAAGAGGAAGGAAGGGATAGAGGGAGCGAGCAGCGAGGACACCCAAACTGCCAGCTTAGGCGGGGTATTGTGGAAATTGCGCATGGCGGATTAGCCTGAGGCAAGTAGATAAGAGAAGCTAGCATCATAGCAGTAAATACGGGAGGTGCGGGAGTACTCTGCTCAAGCCGTGCGTCCACAGGCATGCGCACCTCTGCTCCTGCCCATCGCAACAATGCCCATACAAACTCAGCTGCACCAGTCGACGGATTCATCTCTTTGGCGCGGCGCTTATCCGCTGTAGTCAAGGACTCCATGGCTGCCGCTCGGTCTTTGCCGTTCCCAAAGTAATTTGACAAGAATGTGCCGCAAGCGTTTTGTATATTGCATGCCGCGCTTTGGGGGTTTACCGCCATGAGTGCCTTCAGGCAGTTTCAAAATTAGCAAAGCAAGTTGTTCTCGAGTTAGAACAATGGTCTTGTCATCGCTTGCATATGATGGCACCACGTGTTTCAACGTAGGGCCAGTGAGTTTGTTCTGCAAAGTTTCCCGGGTAATTCTTCATCTGAATAGTTACACAAGAGAGCCACCGTTTTAACAGCGCAAACATTCTCTCCATTACTGATATGTTGAATAAATGCACGTTTGTCCATTGTGTTCCAATTTAC